GCATTCGAAATAATTCATATTCTTGACTTAGGGTATTTAGTCTTGATCTTTTTACTTCAACTGTTCCTTCATGAGTTTGTACCAAGGTATCCCATATTTCTTTTGTTGTTTTGCATGCCGAGACACGGAAGAATTTGTCCATGCTAAGTGCACCTTGAAGAAGGTTTATTGCCTTTTTGTCATAGAGAACTTTCTTCTTATCATCATTGTCCCATGCAGTTTTAGGCTTTGATGAGCCAACACCATTGATTACCGTTATAGGGATAAATGGACCATTTTCGACGGCATCCCATATTTTTTCTCCTTGTGCTTCTAGATGTGCCTTCATGCGTATTTTCCAGAAGTCAAAATATTCACCACAAAATAGAGGAGGCTTGTTTTTACTACCACCATCTCTGAAAACGGGATTTTGATTTGCGGAAGCCATTCTGGATCTTTTAGGAGCAGGTTACCTATAACCTGCTCTGATACCAATTGTAAGTATGAGAGTGCGCCTAAGAGGGGGGGGGGGTAAATTAGGTACTTTAAAAGTTTTTCCGTTTTAGTGAGATGGATATTATTTTTCTGGTTTAGTGCATGAGTTTACAATTGTGTTTCTTTCTTTTCTGGTTTATGACTAGTGATGAAAGCGGTAAATGCGGAAAAGTAAAGAACACAAAGATGTATCCTGGTTCCCCTCACAGTCCGAGAGTACTTCAGTCCCCTTTCAACATGAAAGAGATTTCCTTATTGTTAGATCTCTAGACAAGACACCCTAGTCCTTCTATACAAGACTCTAACCAATAAAACCACCAAGAACAATCCTCTTGGACCAAGAACAATCCTCTTGGATTTTCACTATGTCAACAATGAGAACAATCCTCTCAAAGTGACTACACTTGTATCCAACAATCCTGGAAAGACAAGATTTAAAAACACTTAAACTTATTTCCAACAATCTTGGAAAAATAAGTAAGTAACTATCAATATTTGAGTTTGAGTGAGTAGAGAAATATTGATCACTTAGAGTGATTTAACAATGTATGATCTTCTCTTCCAATAATATTATTGTACAATGACTCAAGATATATTTGCTCAAAGTTTTCTGTTTGTTAATGTATGAGAATGTGCAGAAAACTTATGCATGAAAGTGAAGGAGTGCTTGAGTTTGTATTTTGAAATTTCAGAAAATATTTATGGAAGAGGTGTTGAAAAATTTTGAAATTGAATATTTATATGTTCATAACACCCTTTTGAAACAACATGAAGTTCTGAAAATGTATCATGAACAAATGCCAAGTTTGAGTGAAAAGTTTCAATGAAAAGGCATGATGAATAGGTATGTACAAAGCTGCTGTTTTTCAAAATCCTACAGCATGCAATCGATTGCACCCTTTGTGTAAATCGATTGCACAAGGTTTTAACAGCTATTTTTTCAAAAAATTTAAGAGTGCAATCGATTGCACTATCAATGCAAATCGATTGCATGCAAAGTCAGTAGCAAAAAGTAAGTGAGTGCAATCGATTGCACTAGCAATGTAAATCGATTGCACTGAGAAACAGAAGCAAAAATTTTGAAAATTTAAGTTTGCAATCGATTGCACAAGCAATGTAAATCGATTGCACAGAGAAACAGAAGCAAAAGATCTGAAAGTTTGAAGAGTGTAATCGATTGCACTAAAATGTAAATCGATTGCATGAGGAGAAAAATGAAATTTTAACTTTGAAAAACTTGAGTAATGATTTTTTAAACATTTCTTTTTCATTTTTGAGCATCTATATCTTAATATCAAAGTAGATAATATTATTATACCTTTAAAGTTGTTGAGTGCTTTGAATGAAGATATTATCCTTTGATGCTTTGAGCTTGATCAAAAGTCTTTGCCTTTTTTGTTAGCTATGGTTTGTCTTCATCAAAACAAAAGCTCATTTGTGAAGCTTGATTTTACATTCTCCCCCTTTTTGATGATGACAAACAATCTTGCTTTATGCGATGTACTTTCCGGAAGAGCTTCTCCCCCTAAGATGCAAAACTCCCCCTATGTATGAGAAGGTTGGAATCCTTTGTGTTTCTTCATCTTGGTTGGAGAGTACCTTAAAAATTAAGACAAGGAAATATACAAGCATAAAGTACAACATCCTTCTCCCCCTTTGACATTATCAAAAAGAAGGGAAAGATGGATAAAAATGGACAAAATACATATAATAATATTGAAAGCTTAACCATAGCCATATTGCTTCATGATACTTTTTATCATCCTTTAATAAATGCACATAGTAGTTATCTTCATCAAAACATGATGTTGAAGCCTTTGTCACAAAGTTGTCTTTTACTTAGAAGTTGTCTTTTGTTCTTCAACAAAAAGTATATCTTCAATGGATATGAAAGTTAGTGTATCAACTTTGCCAATGCCAAGAATTCTTCCTTTAAGGTATTTCCCATATGTGAAATAATCCTTGGACTTGAACTAGATTTGAAAGTTAGTATATGTCTGTCGTCATATGCTTTGAACAACCACTATCAAGATACCAAATATTGCATGTGGTTTTCAAGCATACCTTCAAAACAAATTAAGTTTGATTTGGTACCCAATGTGCTTTGGGTCCATCATAGTGAGTTCCTTTCTTAACCCACACATAATGCCCACTTGTTGTGCTAGAGTTTTTAACATAGCAAGCATTAGGTGTATGGCCAACCATACCACAATAAAAATAAGTAGGTTCAAAGTTACTTCTATATCTAGAAGGATAAGATTTCTTCTTAGAAAATGTTTTCTTTTTAGGAACGTGACGAACTATTTTAGGTTTGTTCACTTTCTCTTTGGATGATTGATCACTAGCCTTAACAAAGATAGTTTTGTTAGAACTTGGTTTTGAAAACTTTGAATATCCAAGTCCACTTTTATCATTGAAGTATCTTTGTTGGCTAAGAACACCTTCCAATCCAATTTGGCATTTTTCATATCTTTCAATGACTCTTTTTAATTGGACAATTTGAAAAGAGAGTGAATCACAATTTTTGCATACAAAATTCTGTTTTTGTTCATCACTTGATTTTTGTTTTTCTTCTTTGAAATCTTTTTCCATTGAAACATATTTTTCTTCTAAGGATGAAATTTGTTTCTTTTGTGATGAAATGGTTTTATACAGAATTTTGCATTCATTCAATAGTTCATCTATAGCACCTTGTGCATCACTATCAAAAAGAGAAAATTCATTACTAACCTCATTGTCTTCATCATCGGAGTGGTGTGAGGCCAACAATGCGAGATTAACACGTTGATTGTTTTCGGAATCGGAAGATGAACTTTCCCATGCTATATATGCTTTCTTTGACTTTTTATCTTTATTTATCTTGAAATATTTCTTCTTCTTTTCAAGTGTAGGACATTCACTTTTAACATGTCCCTTTTCTCCACATTCAAAGTATATAACCTTTCTTGTTAGTGCTTTCCTTTTTCTTTCTTTTCGTAGAACCTTTTCAATCTTCTTGATAAGATCATCATCTTCACTACTAGTGGATTCATCCTCTTGATTGTTATCATGATTTTTTATCCTTGTATTTAAAGCAACGTCTTTTGAATCTTTTACTTGGATTTCATGCTTTTCAAGTCTTCCGAGTTCCGTTTCGTATTCTTGAAGTTTTCCAAATAATGTTGCGGATGTCATGTTGGAGAGACTTTTCTTTTCTGAAATTGCTGTTACCTTTGGTTGCCATTCCCTAGTTAAGGACCTAAGTACTTTCAGATTTAGTTCATCATTCTTCAAAGTTTTACCAAGAGCACTTAGATGATTTGTCAAGTGCACAAATCTCTTTTGTAAGTCAAGAATGGTTTCTCCGGGCTGCATTCGAAATAATTCATATTCTTGACTTAGGGTATTTAGTCTTGATCTTTTTACTTCAACTGTTCCTTCATGAGTTTGTACCAAGGTATCCCATATTTCTTTTGTTGTTTTGCATGCCGAGACACGGAAGAATTTGTCCATGCTAAGTGCACCTTGAAGAAGGTTTATTGCCTTTTTGTCATAGAGAACTTTCTTCTTATCATCATCGTCCCATGCAGTTTTAGGCTTTGATGAGCCAACACCATTGATTACCGTTATAGGGATAAATGGACCATTTTCGACGGCATGCCATATTTTTTCTCCTTGTGCTTCTAGATGTGCCTTCATGCGTATTTTCCAGAAGTCAAAATATTCACCATAAAATAGAGGAGGCTTGTTTTTACTACCACCATCTCTGAAAACGGGATTTTGATTTGCGGAAGCCATTCTGGATCTTTTAGGAGCAGGTTACCTATAACCTGCTCTGATACCAATTGTAAGTATGAGAGTGCGCCTAAGAGGGGGGGGGGGGGGTAAATTAGGTACTTTAAAAGTTTTTCCGTTTTAGTGAGATGGATATTATTTTTCTGGTTTAGTGCATGAGTTTACAATTGTGTTTCTTTCTTTTCTGGTTTATGACTAGTGATGAAAGCGGTAAATGCGGAAAAGTAAAGAACACAAAGATGTATCCTGGTTCCCCTCACAGTCCGAGAGTACTTCAGTCCCCTTTCAACATGAAAGAGATTTCCTTATTGTTAGATCTCTAGACAAGACACCCTAGTCCTTCTATACAAGACTCTAACCAATAAAACCACCAAGAACAATCCTCTTGGACCAAGAACAATCCTCTTGGATTTTCACTATGTCAACAATGAGAACAATCCTCTCAAAGTGACTACACTTGTATCCAACAATCCTGGAAAGACAAGATTTAAAAACACTTAAACTTATTTCCAACAATCCTGGAAAAATAAGTAAGTAACTATCAATATTTGAGTTTGAGTGAGTAGAGAAATATTGATCACTTAGAGTGATTTAACAATGTATGATCTTCTCTTCCAATAATATTATTGTACAATGACTCAAGATATATTTGCTCAAAGTTTTCTGTTTGTTAATGTATGAGAATGTGCAGAAAACTTATGCATGAAAGTGAAGGAGTGCTTGAGTTTGTATTTTGAAATTTCAGAAAATATTTATGGAAGAGGTGTTGAAAAATTTTGAAATTGAATATTTATATGTTCATAACACCCTTTTGAAACAACATGAAGTTCTGAAAATGTATCATGAACAAATGCCAAGTTTGAGTGAAAAGTTTCAATGAAAAGGCATGATGAACAGGTATGTACAAAGCTGATGTTTTTCAAAATCGTGCAGCATGCAATCGATTGCACCCTTTGTGTAAATCGATTGCACAAGGTGTTAACAGCTATTTTTTCAAAAAATTTAAGAGTGCAATTGATTGCACTATCAATGCAAATCGATTGCATGTAAAGTAAGTAGCAAAAAGTAAGTGAGTGCAATCGATTGCACTGAGAAACAGAAGCAAACATTTTGAAAATTTAAGTATGCAATCGATTTCACAAGCAATGTAAATCGATTGCACAGAGAAACAGAAGCAAAAGATCTGAAAGTTTGAAGAGTGTAATCGATTGCACTAAAATGTAAATCGATTGCATGAGGATAAAAATGAAATTTTAACTTTGAAAAACTTGAGTAATGATTTTTTAAACATTTCTTTTTCATTTTTGAGCATCTATATCTTAAGATCAAAGTAGATAATATTATTATACCTTTAAAGTTGTTGAGAGCTTTGAATGAAGATATTATCCTTTGATGCTTTGAGCTTGATCAAAAGTCTTTGCCTTCTTTGTTAGCCATGGTTTGTCTTCATCAAAACAAAAGCTCATTTGTGAAGCTTGATTTTACACTAACTTCTATTAATCATCGCTTCAACCTTCCTTATTCAACCTTTTACATAATCATACAACATAACGACCCTCACACCACCAGCTCAAACCTTCATTCCATACAACATTCAACTTCATTCACTACATCATAAGCTCCTCCAACCTGCCATGTTGAATCTAACCATACAAACTAACCGCAATTGAACAATCATACACCATATCCATAATGAACCTACAAGTTTGGATTGCACAAAAAACCAAGCTCCAATCATACCTGTAAACTCGCACCAACACCGACGCGTAGCTCACAAGAACAGTGCTAGAATTTCAGGAGAAAAGAGAAGAAAGTTAGAATAAGAAAAGTTATGTTGTTAAAGTAAGGTCCCCCCCCCCCCCCCCCCCCCCCAAGCTTCAGATTGAATATTTTCATCAACCTGCAAATTTCCAGCAACTTCAACACCACAACCTGCAGTAATTCAACACATACTTCAGAACCTATGAATTCATATCAAAACACCATACCTGAGTTGCATGTCTAGTTTTCGATATTGCATCTGAAGAAGTCGTCGAAGCGACTCCTACATGTAAGTGTTCTTTCTTTCCTCTTATGTGCGCTAGCGTTACTGTTGTTATTGCCATGAAAATTGATGCTGCTATTATTTCCTTGTTGTTAATTCTAAAATTGGATGAACATATGTTGTTGTTCTCGTTGTAAGAAATCAGAGTTGGAACTGAGATTTGAGCGTGAAGTCATTGTATCGTTGTTATCATCTTATAGTGAGAAAGCTTCCTTTGTGAGAGCTTGCGAGATTGTTATTATTGTTCGAAACAAAACAGGAAATTAAACAAAACTAACCGCGAGAATAATCGAAACAGGTACACCAGCAACAACAAAGAAAGGTGGAAGAGGCAAATAAAAAACCAAATTTGTTTCAAGATCAACTAAAGCTGGTCTCCAGTTCCCCGTCGGCCGTATTGCTCAATTCCTTAAAGCGGGTCGTTACGCTCAACGTGTTGGGTCTGGTTCAACAGTGTACCTCTCAGCTGTTCTTGAATACATTTGGGCTGAGGTTTTGGAACTTTCTCATAACACTGCGAGGGATAAGTTGTAAGAGATTATGTTGTTGTGAATTATGGTGTTGTTTCGGAATAGAGAAACGTGAGAGAGAGAAATGAGTGGTGAGAGAAAGATTATAATATCATGTTTTTGTTTTAGTTTGAAATAAAGTGGATTAATTGGAATTAATTTGAGTTGAAAGTTTTGACCAAATCCCCTTACAAATGCAGCAGCCACTCTTAGCATATCTAAGGTTTTTTTTCTTCAAACCTTGTTACAATAGATTTCGGGTTTGGGCTTTAATACCCTAGACCCAGTCCAAATTTTCTTCCCCCTTAAGCCCAATTCGATTCCCTTCTTAACTTTAAGCCCATTCGAAATTCAACATATCCACCTCCAATTTTCTATTTCCACACCCTTTTTCATTAAATAACTTGATTTAATTTTAGATTATTAATCTTAGAATAAATTAGTTTAGATGTAATTTTAGTAATTTTTAGGATTAACTTAGTTTAGATTAAAATTTTTATAATAGCTTAGATTTAAATTAGAATTTTATAATTAACTTAGTTTACATTTAAATTAGTTTAGATATAATTTAGTAATTTTAGAGCTTTAATAACTTTAGAATTTTTAGATTTAGTTTAGTAATTTTAGAATTTTATTTGGTTTAAATTTAATTTGATTTAGATTTAATTTAATAACTTTAGAATTTTTATTTAGATTTAATTTAATAACTTTAGAATTTTCATTTGATTTAGATTTAATTTAATAACTTTAGAATTTTTATTTGGTTTAGATTTAGTTTTATTTAGATTTAATTTAATGACTTTAGAATTTTTATTTGATTTAGATTTAATTTAATAATTTTAGAGTTTTTATTTGATTTAGATTTAGTTTAGTAATTTTAGAATTTTATTTGATTTAGAATTTTCACTTAATTTAATTTAATTTAATAACTTTAGAATTTCCATTTGATTTAGATTTAATTGAATAACTTTAAAAATTTTATTTGATTTAGATTTAGTTTAGTAATTTTAGAATTTTATTTGATTTAGATTTAGTTTAGTAACTTTGAAATTTTTATTTATTTTAGATTTAATTTAGTAACCTTAAAATTTTAATTTAGTTTAGATTTAATTTACTAATTTTAAAATTTTAATTTAGTTTAGATCTAATTTAGTAATTTTAGAATAATTTTTATAACCTTAGAATTTTAATGTAGTTTAAATTTAATTTACTAATTTTAAAATTTTAATTTAGTTTAGATCTAATTTAGTAATTTTAGAATTATTTATTATAACCTTAGAATTTGTAGTTAGTTTAGAACTATTTTAGTAAGTAATCTTAAATTTTTAACTTAGTTCAAATAACTTCTTTAGATAATTAGTTACATTCTCTTTTATTGGTATTTAAATATCTCTGTCATTTTAATTTTTCGGTGCCTTTTGGTCATTAATCTATTTCGTTAGATTTATTTTCTTGTGAATTTTCGAATGCTTATATTTTGATGTCCATTTTATTTTGCTTGCTCGATTTAATCCAAGGGAAAGGATTGTCTTGTTGACTTTATGTCATTGTGTGTCTTTTGCATGCTTATATGTTTTAACGACCTTTTAAAGTCAAAACCTTGACATTAGGTCGTTGCATTTTCAAAATATCATCTCCACACTCATTTAGCAAGCAAATCAATTTTAACCAAAAAGTAGATATTTCAAAAGGTTTCTATATGACACTATAGATACATAGGGTGCTAGTACCTTCCCTTTGTATAACTAACCCCCGAACCTTCGATCTCTTTCAGATGCATTGTATTTTTACTTTTTAGTATTATTTATACTTTGCATATTTATGGGTTTTATTTCGCAATTTCCCTTTTCCCTTGAAAATAATAAAGCGCAGTGGCGACTCTTGCTTTTGTGAGTCAAGTTAATCAATAGCTTGATCTCCGATTTTCACCGCTACAGTGTGGTGTCAGCTGCTGATTTTTTATTTGCATATACAGTCAGCTGCTGAAGTATGGATCTCTTGTGTTCTCCCTCAAGAGTGTTTGTATGGATTTACTATGGGTGTTATCTCCAGAACCATAGTAATTTGTGGACTCCATATGATTGTGATTGATGTCTTATTTGATGTCGGAACATCATCTCAGGTGGCTTTTTTACTTCAGAAGGAAGCTATACTGAAGATCACGGGGTGGGCATTGTTGATCACCAATGAATTCCAAAATTGGAATGTTTAATCATGATTGGGTGTGAAGTCCAGTCTCTGATCAAGTCGGGAATATTGTGAAGAATCCTCTTGTGCTAGGAATATGAAGAAGAAGGATGTCATAACAAATGTTCGAACATCTGTTAAAGGGGAGCATCATCTGTAGTCTATGGGGAAGTATTCCTCTGATGAAAAATACCTTGTCGGGAGTTGGGTATAAGTCTGATCTTGTGAAGGTGTGCATATTATCAATGGTAAAGACCTTGTCGGGAGCTGGGTACTTATCTGAGGTGTGGATGCAAATCTGCTTTCTAAATTCTTTGTATCAGAAATTTATGAGAGTTTATGTCTCTCATTTGGTGTTCAGGTGAATGTATAAACCTGAATAAGCTGTAGAAGGTGTGATCTTTTATGATCTTCTCTTAAAAGGACTATCAAGCATAATGAGCTCTCTGGATGTTAAATCAAGAACTAAATTATTGGTTTTTATGAAGAAAAGTCGATGTCCTAAATGATGTTGTAACATTATTTTTTGTGTTATCCCTAAAGGAATATCTGATTTTATGATTATAGAGGATTGAGGGTCGATACTGTTGTCAGAAGAAGTAGTTCTAACTTCGTGGATTAAAATGTGCAGATTCTGATCCTGTCTACAGTAGAATGCTTGTAAAATGCATGACTATTATGTTGAAGTCTTCACTAGTATCAACAATTTCTAGTGAATGAAAGGGCGGAAGAAGGTTATCAAATTCTGAGGTTTGATCTGAATGTTTGTTGAAGTGGTGTTTCTTATACTATAAGTAAGAGATGGTGGCACTCTTGAACTTGTGTAGCAAGCAGGCAAAAAACATTTGTTCTGGAATTCCAAATTAAGTGTGGCTTGTATAGATTTGTGTATGAAGTGGTTTCCCTTAACTATGGAAGTATGTGTTAGAACATAGTTTGATTCTACAATCCTTAGTTAGAGTTTTGATGATAACAAATACAAAGAACAAATATGCACCCTAAAAATTATGTTATTGTGTATACAGAAGTTCTGACCAAAGCAGCATCAGAAGTTAAGCTATAGAAGCTACACACTGAAGCAATCAGAATTTGCGCTGAAGACTGATGACCAGAACCTGCGCTTAAGTGAAGTAAACTCTGATTTTGAACAAGAGCATAATAATCTAAGTCATCAATGTTCTGAAACATCAGCAGCAGGCAAGGATGCAAGATTTTGAAGCGTTACTACTCATTCAAGACAACATCAATTACAACGGCTTCATTCAGACATGGTCTTCTCCAAATGGAAACTGAGTTAATGACATTTATCACGCTTAATGTTCAACAGGAATCCATTGCCTATATAAACAAGCTCAGTGATCAAATCGTA